ACTTGCGCTCTCCCCCAAAAATAAATTAAAAAAAAAAAAAAAAGAGAGAAAGAAAGAGAATGCATTCTTTATATAAATTGAGCAATTCCTTTCTATCCTACTTCTTAAAATTGGTTGTGTGTGCCTTTGGAAGGATTGCAGTGGTAGGTATATCACAAAGTTACAGGGCACCTGGCCCGTGCTTCTGTGGGCTTCAGTTTTACTGAAAGATTATGGACAGAAAGGGCCTTTATGTTTACACGAAAACTAACAGAAATGGTAAAAAGTAGAATGCAGAATGAGTGTGTGATTTTAGATTGCAGAGGAGACTTTAGAAAAATTTGCTTGTGATTTCAGGCCACACCCCAGACTTCTGGGCCTATCAGCTCACTTCTCTTCAGCCTTAGGGGCAGAAGACTTTGAAGAGCATGACGATGACCACGTCACTGCCTACTTCCTGAGGACTCAGCCCCGAGCGCTCCTTTCGTTCATCTGCATGTATCCATGCCCCACCGCATACGATGCACACGGCGTTTTGTTGGAAAGGACATGGCTCTGAAGTTAAAAGGATCTGCCGAAATAATTGTTTCAGCTAGAGTTTAAAAACCATCAAACAAACTAGTCTGCCTTAATTCGTTACTCCAATTTTGAAAGAGCATATGCAGTCCTGGCTTCCTGCTGTTCTGTCACGAGTGAGGCAGGGAGAAGAGTGGCATGAACGGCCACCCGTGGTCTCTAGACGCTGCGTCATTCCTTTCCTTTGCCCTTGTCAGGAGCCCTGCCCCACACAGAAATGGACACAAGATTCCCGGCACGTTAGAAGATCCCCTACATAATTATTACTGACCCAGATTCTAGAACCCTAGTGACGACTGCTCCCAGTTTCTGGTTTTTAGATACACAGGACAAATGCCTCCGTGACCTTTAAAGTCTGCGAGGTCAGCTACTCTACCCGGCTGACACCGAACTGGTCCCTGATCTGTCTTCATTTGCATTATCCTACTTTCCGAAGAATTAATCCCTTTTCTTCCATCCATTTGACCCAACAGTTCCCCATGTTCTTTGTATCTTTATCACAGAACCGGTTCTCTCTCTCCCTCTCTCTCTCACCTCACCTTACAAACAACAGCAAACAGAGTTTGATTCCAAGGGATATTCAGCTTCCTGTAATCAGTGTTCTCAAGAGTGTGGCATATTAAAGATACTTCATGCTGCATTTCCCCGTGAAAAGAACACAGATCCTAGAGATGAGTTCACTCAACTTATCCGAGTAGCTTATTACTGCAGAGTACAGCATGGAAATAATCTGCAGAAAACTTCAAACATTTTAAAAGACACTGTTCACCCAGTAATTAAAATCAAGATGCCACAGGAACATGTCAAATTTAAAAAAGAAATCGCTGACATGGTGTTTACACTACAAATTTCACTCACCATATGTATCACCTGTTTGTTTTATCTACTCAAACCACACTGCAAAAAGGGTTAGAATAAATCAACAACTGGAGGTTACTCAACTAAGAGCTTGGGGAACCGAGCGCTGTATTCATGGTCACTTTTGCTTTTTGGATTCATCAGCCACTAGTAGCCCAAGTGCAGACTTCGGCCTAGGACTAAGCAAGCAGAGTCTGGCTTATGTGGTGACTCTGGGATCATGTTTTCCTGTCTAGACCACGGAGAGCTGATCTACATCCAGACGAAGCCTGTCTATTTTAGAACCAGAATAGAACACAACCTGCTCCAAGAATACAGGACTGGAGGTAGGGAAGACTAATTTGAAAGAGATAAACAAAGGGGAAGACAATAAAACCAAGGAACAAAAGTGCTCTGGCACTGGGTCCACGTGGGCTCACTGGAAAATTCTGAAAGGATACTTTTTCCTACTACCAACTTGTATGACCTTCCTGCCCAAGTACAGAAATTGATGCTGGAGGATGAGCAGATGTCACTGAATGTACCAACATGAGAAAAGGCCAGACCTAAATTTTATCCAAGATAAAGTAGAGGAGGGTGCATACAGCCTGTTTTAGGGGTACAAGAATAGTGGCTTAGTTCCTCAAGTTAAAAAAAATATATTTTAGCATATATATTTTAGTAGGGGAACGTATTTACCCTTTTAAGTAGTAACTGGCTTTGAAGCTTCGGTAACAAAGCTGTGAATAAGCACTTTCCTTTAACGTCTTACAAGATGAGACTGTATGGAGAGAACAAGCTAGTTAAATATACCAGGGCCTGTCCCTCTTTAAATCATGTTACCTGCTCAGGTTTTATAACTGCAAGGATCTTAATTTATGATATACTTTATAATTATGGCACTTTACTTTCAAGAAGCAATAGGAATATAATCTAGGGTTATTAACTCAACAATGAAATTTTAGTATAGGCCGAGTGTTTCAACTGAGGATAAAAATTATCTCTTTTACATTAAAAACATGCTAATTTAGAGCACAGTTTACGGTGAAGAGGCACACAGGTGTTTTATCACTTGAGATGCAGCAACTCTTTTTACCAAGAATTTTCTTGGTTTAAATGTGTGTACCTGCTTACACAGCAATTTAAAATATTCTCATGTGAGACAATGACATTTCAGCTCGAGTTCTAAAACAACAGATCTGCTGCTTTTTCGACACTAGCTGCCCAGGGCTGCAAAACAGACACTTCTGTATATGAAGGATGCGAGATTGTGCCCACCGCCACTCCCATCCCAGAGCAAACCCCGACAACAAAACCTCTATCTGCTGGTAATGGAAGCGCTGCGTGGTAAAGACCGGATGTTGTTAACATACGGAGAACGCTAAGATATAGTAGCCGGGATAAAAAGAAAAATCAAGGAACAAAAGAAAGAAAACCATTAAAAAAGCAATATCAGAAGTAAAACCTTTAAAGGAGCGATAAAGTCAAACAGAGCGAAGGCAACAGGGGAAGGCGTTAAACAGATTTACAAGGCGCCGACCGACTTTAGAATCCAGGAAGGCAAGCAAGGGTCTTGGAGAGGATTCGGTTTCACAGAAGAAGAGTCAGATTTTGCAAAATCTAGTTAAAGCCTGAAAAGTTTAAATGTCTATCTGTTATCTGTACTTTAAACCAGATACTTGGGGAAAAAAAAAAAGTCTAATCTACAATTTTGAGTAAGAAAACACTAAAAGACAGGTGCAGAAAGTAAGACCAGCAAACAGGAGGTTGTTCTTGCGACTCCTCCCTTCTCGAGCTGGTGCCTCACCGGGCACGGTGCACAGAGACCCAGTTTAATAGGTCCCTGTCATAGCACAGCCCCCGTGTCCAGTAATGGGCAGGACAGGAGCCCTGGGAAGCTTAGCTGTCAACCTCGTGCCAGTGCTGGAGGCAAAGAAGTATTTGTTTACGTAACAAATTTCCAGATTTTGATGGTCATCAGCCAGAATAGCTGCTGCATATAATCGCGGCTGAACCACATCAGGAGTGTATTAATTATAGCTAACGTTACAGACTTCTTCCTGTGTGCCACTCCTGTTCCAAATGTTCACACGGAGTATTTCACTCATCCTCACAGCAATACTGTAAAGGAAGGACTAGTCTTCCCTCAGTTTACATATGAGGAAATGAAGCAGTTAAGGAACTTTTAGCTGGAATGAAATTCCAGGTCTGTTTCCTTTCAGAGCCCTGCCTCTTCACCCTTGTGAAAGGTACTATATGGAAAGCAGAAGTAAACTATGTCTATGAGCTTATAACCAATGTTCTAAAATGCCAGTGATGTATGAAGTGATAGTGTGCTCTAGGTAAAATACATCATGGCCCAAAGCATGCACATACTTAGAAAATGACTTGTATATACCTCAACCATGTAAATGGATAAAAACCACTGTAGTGAAAGATTATGCATGCTACTTAAAGTGTCTTCAGTGGGGCGCCTGGGTGGCTCAGTCGGTTGAGCGTCTGACTTCAGCTCAGGTCATGGTCTCACGGTTCATGAGTTCGAGCTCCACGTCAGGCTCTGTGCTGAGAGCTCAGAGCCCAGAGCCTGCTTCGGATTCTGTGTCTCCCTCTCTCTCTCTCTGCCTCTCCCCTGCTTTCTGTCTCTCTCTCTCAAAAATAAACAAACATTAAAGAAAATAAAGTGTCTTCAAACGTCTACATAATTTCTTAAATCTGATACATAAAGATCATAACAGAAAGTGCCTGGAGGGTGGCCAAGAAAGATGACTTTGGTTCCTTTTTAGGAGATTAAAATGTGCTCCAAGTCTATAACCACGGAGTTATTTCTTACTAAGCACAAAACTGACGATCAGAAATGCTAAGATACAAATGAAAAAACACATTATATGTAAATAACTTCTTACTTTTGCACCAAAAATCATGAATAAGAAGTCGTTACGTGGCTTTCATTCTGGCAGGCTGGTTTCATCCTATGATCTACCCTGAGGCAGAAGTCACGAACTGCAGACTGTTTCTGCCACCAATTTACGGTCTTCATGGACACAAATCCCTTTGTTTTTCAGCACCTCACATCAGATGGGAATAACAGCTCTTCTGCTAGTTTCATTAAATTGAAATGAATGTTTGGGGATGGGAACGATGCTGGATCTGTCAAGGGAATTAGTACTAACTGGGTGCTGTGCTGGTGGATACGATTTAATCGCGTGAGTCTGGGGGAGGAGCATGCAGTTTGTTAACTTTTTCAAACTGCTGTCAGGCATTTGAGTGACCTACTCTTTGAGCCTCATAACCACCCTGGAAATAAGGAGGACAAGTATCGTTAGGTGGGAAAGAGGTGACTATATGGTTAGCCTCAATTCACACAGCTAGTTATGGACAGAGCCCAGAGTATCACTTTCCCAACTCCTGATCCTGTGTTTTTTATTTATCGCTGTTGGTTTTTCCCTCTGCTGACAAGGCAGTGTAGCCCAGTGGTTGGAAAAGATGGGGCAACGTCAACCGAGAGTCTTCAATCCAACAAAGGCGCAGACATCCTGAACTGATGAATTAGAGAAAGCAGTTCTCTCCTGTGACCTGCATCTTGGAGGCTACGGAGTCAGACCACGTACCTTGATTTCTGGGAGCTGCATCACTTCAGGAAAGACTTCAATGCAATTAGAATGTGCAATCACGGTGTGCATACGCCTGCAATTCATGACAGTGGTCGGGATGGCTTTCAGTTTATTCCCACTGACATCAATTTCTTCAAGTTCCTCCAGTTTTGCCATTTTACTAAAGAAAGGAAAATCCAAGGGGGGAGCAGGTCGTAAAATAATCACAAGGCAATTAAAAAATAATACATAACAAGAATAAAAAGGGAATTTACTATGAACCTAAAGATTCTTTAAAGATTCACTGTATAATATAACTGTGTGTTAACTATACTGGAATTAAAAAATAAAAGATTCACTTGTAATCATCATTTTAACAAACAAGACCTGGGCACCTGGGTGGCTCGGTCAGTTAAATGTCTCCATCTTGATTTTGGCTCAAGTCACAATCTCATGGTTGTGCGATCAGGCCCCATGTCAGGCTCTGCACTGACAGCACGGAGCCTGCTTGGGATTTTCTCTCCCTGTCTCACTGCCCCTCCCCTGCTTGTTCTCTCTTTCTCCCTAAAAAAATAAAAAATAAAAAAATTTTAAGACCATTTTCACTATTGGTTTTGAGTATCAAAGTAGTTTAACACCTCCTTTCCTAGTATAAAACAAAAACTATTAACTTCAACTGTTCAAATTAGCAAAAAAAGAAAAATGGATGTCTCTTTCCTCTTAAAACTCTGTGTGTGAATTAAGTTATCCTGGCAACAATCGCTTTGCTATGTAGCTTAGTCTCAACGCCAATAAAAACCCTACTCAAGTGGGTAAGTTAGCATTGATCCACTGGAAGTGCTTTAAAAAAGCTCAGTTTGAGGGGCACATGGGTGGCTCAGTGGGTTAAGCATCTGACTTCAGCTCAGGTCATGGTCTCACAGTTCATGAGTTCAAGCCCCACATCGGGCTCTGTGCTGACAGCCCAGAGCCTGGAACTTGCTTCAGATTCTGTGTCTCCCTCTCTCTCTGCACCTTCCCTGCTCACAGTCTGTCTCTCCCTGTCTCTCAACAATAAATGTTAAAAAAAAAAAAAAAAATCAGTTTGAGAGAAAGACTTGTCTTTGTATTGGCTCTGAAAGGTCAGGGGAGGCAGTGTAGCCCAGGGCGTTTGCTCATATGAAGACATGCTTTCCCCAAAACCCCACTCCCCAGATTCCTGTGACATCATTTGTGATGACAAGATGGTGGGAGTACCATCTGGACCATCTCTTGACCTGGCAGGGCCCAAATTCAAACCGTGCCCAAAAGAAATTCCTTTCACCTCCTGTTAAATATCTGCCAAGGACGACTCTTGCTAACCTTACTTTAATAACACGTCCTAATACATTGAACACTTTTGTTTAAGAATGTCTTTTATTGTGGTGGCGTCCAAGTCCTGATTTCAGCTCAGGTCATGATCTTGCAGTTTGTGAGCTCAGGCCCCATGCTGGGCTCTGTGCTAACACAGCAGAGCCCATTGGGATTCTCTCTCTCCTATCTCTTTGCCCTTCCCTCTATCTCTCTTGAAATAAATGAACGTTAAAAACAAAAAAAAAACAAAAAAAAACGGTTAAAAGAATGTCTTTTATTTTTCAGTCTTAATCTATAGTTGATCTTAGTAATATTAACCAATAATTATAGTAACCAAATAAAGAAAATTTGTTAGGGTTTCTTGCCTTTTCTGCAAATGTGGAGGGAAAAAGCCATGCACCTCTATAATCCTGTAACAGCATCTACCACTCCTCTGACCCTTTCTCTACTACTGGTGATGCTGGGCTCCAAAAACTGCAGGATTTCCAGTAAGTATAACTCAAACTTTGAATCATGTAGTTTACAATTGTTGGTATCTCCTCTGTTTGTTATGGTTTCATTTGTCATAATAAGCCTTCAAAAAAAATTTAGCAAGAAATCCTTTTATTTACTTTTCCTTCTGTCATCTCTCAAATATAAAATTTATCTTATTTATCTTGAAAATTAATATATTCCAAAGATACAGTAAGAACTAAGTTTTCATTTTATGACATCAGGTCTTTTAATATCCAGAACAGGAATCAGGATATGCTACAAACAACACTGTGTACACAGACTGTGAAGGGATTGAGCTCCGAATGCCTGAATTTGTGAGACGATTACTTGAATATGCTGTTATCATATTTGGAAAGAAATATGGAGAAATCCATGAATAATGGGGCATGGAAAATGACCAAAAGTATAGAAATCGGGCCCAAGAAAGAACTTAAACAAGTTTCCATTCCTCCACTTACAAAGAAGGTGACCAATGGACTAGACCGCTGGAGCATGTTCTTTAATTTGGGAAACATTTGTGGAGTGTCTGCCCCAGACCAGACCTCATATATACACGGGACTGAAGGTGACAAATCACAGTCCTGACTCTTGAGGAACTTGGGGTCTTTAGGGGGCACCTGTGCTATATCACAGTCCATAGGGAGACAGAAATTGTAGCAAAATGCATTTTTATGAGGTACATAAAAAATTCTCTGTATGTAGGGTGATTACAACTGGCATGGGTCACTGGAGGCTGCTATCGAAATCTGAGTTAGTGGTAGTTTCTCCTTCAGGGCTTATTTGCCTCTCAAATAGGATGAGGAGTCCTTTCAGAGATATTATTGTTAGGTGATTGCCATGTTTTCTTCCAAAAATATCATCTCCTCATTCCACAGTAAAATACTATGTACACAGTAAAAGTACATGGAAGTAAAAAAAAAAAAAAGTACACAGAAGTAAAGTACATAGAAGAAAAAAGGTTTAATCATTAATATCAAACGAGAGGAAACAATACAGAAATAAATATGTACAACAACAACAAAAAAAACCCAGAGCAATGCTTTAAGTCCATGCATATTTGGCCTTCCTCACTTAGTGAGGTTTCGATAGGCTCGTAGCCTTGAGGGCAGCAGAGGGAAGCCGTGCCACTATTTCTTGCTCTGCCCGGTGCTCAGCTGGAGCTAGCAGCAGAATACCAGAAGGGGCTAGCGGTCGCCTCTGTGCTGGGTGTGTGTGTGTTCCAGGTCCTAACTTGTGAGATGGACAAACGCCAGTGACGCACGTGGAGTATTTCCTTCGTGGCAGGCTGGGTGTGTAGATTCACCCCAAGTTAGACACCGTGCCACTGCCCCCCCCCAAATTACAAGTTCAGATTACAACAGAATTAAAAATGGAATATTCTGAGAGCCAGAAGTTGTTTGTAATATGACATGGTGTCTCTGGTCACATAGACAGGCCACCGTGGCTTTTTATACCACAGCACAAATACAAAGACTGGTAGTTAGTTAAGAACCGTCAGGTTCCTGGTTTACGTTCCAATTCCCACACACCGTATTAGGCTAATTAAACAGAATAATAATTTGGTTAAAAAGAACCAAAAAGAAAAAACATGCCCACGAAATAACAATACCTTATTTCAAAATCATAAGAATGCCATAGTGATTGGGTCCGTGGATACATTCACAGGAGAAAAGCGAACACATTTCTCTTTAGGGAAATGTTAATCACAGCTGATATGAAAGACAACTGTGAACTCAGGAGGGACAAGCTTTACTTTATCTGGGAAATAAACATTTTAGCTTTTGCCTTTCCACCTGTGAACCCACTTTCAGAAATGCACTGGAGAACACTTTGTGACCTTCCGTTACCTTGCTGGAAAACTCTGAAGTCGATTATAGGCCATGTGAAGGATCTTTAGGTGGGGGTGTCCTGTTAACAAGGGCACACATTTATCTGTGAGGCTGTTATTTGTCAAATACAACTCCTGCAGGATGCTGCTTGTCTCTTCCGACAGAGTGGCTGGCGGAAGGGTTTCCAGTTTGTTGGCAGACGCATTCAGGAATCTCAGGCTACAATGACAAAATGCAACAAAATCCCACTGATAAGCCAGAGCTCTGGTCCAGAATCCTCAACACATCTGGAATTTTTCTGACTGATACCTGGCGTGTTCTAAACTGGGTTTAGAAACAGGCATTTAAAAATAAACCCTGGCTTTCCTCGCCTGCATATAGATACGTGACCCCACGCTCTGTAATGAACACACTAACTATCTATACGTGCTAGACACAAAAAGGTAAAAATCAATGTTTACGGAAGCACCAAGGTGAGAGGAGGGGATTCATTTTATAGCTGGTAGGGAGTGGAAGGGAAGGTGGCATGGGAAAGTTAATATTCTGTCTTCAGGAAGAGAAAAACAATTGCCTATTTTTAAATAAAAGAGCCCTTAGGGTAACAGGACAATCAGACATGAGGTCACAATACAACTAAATCACACGGTGAGTGTGATGCCCAAACCGCGTTTTGCAGACGCGTGTTCGCGACTGCGGCATGTGCTCCATCCACTCTCAAGCTGTAGCCCCCGCAACATGGAGAGTGTTCAGCCCGTCGGACTCTCCCCTGTGGTTACCAAGGTCAAAGCTGCCTTGCCTCCCCACCTGGAAAAGCCTGTTAATGAACCACCTTTCTCTTGTTTCAAAACCACCTAGGTTTGAAACTTTCGGCATCCAATTCAGGACTATTCTGCCATATGTTAAGAAAAAAAAAAATCTTCCTTAAAAAAAAGAATATGCAATATGAGGTATGGCAGTTTTTAATCCTGGATAAAAAGAAGGCTTTGTATTCAGGAGTCATCCCCAGGACTGTCATGCCAAGCTGTCAATCCACTAATACTCCCCAATCTTGCAACCCCCCCACACATACTTATACACACTGGCCAACTCCACTACTTGTCTAAGGAAAAGCAGTATCCCCAAAATAGAACATTTTCCATTAAAGAAACACGTATTCAGTTGACATTTAAAAAAAAAAAAAAAAAAAAAAAAAAAAAAAGGGAAGCTAGAAAGGGCTGTACAGACCATAAATAGTCATGGGAAATTATAGTCGTGTGTGCCACACGGAAGAAAATAAAGGCCATTCATGCAGTTTCTGAAACTAGTTTTGAACTAGGAAGGAAACCAATTTCAGCACCATAGTTCTTTAAAGTATTTTTACGAGTCTGTTTCGTTAGGTCCCATTTATATCACCTGACTTAAATACCCTGTTAAGAATTTCTTCAGGATAGAAGTAGAAAAAATAAAAATGCATTGCCCTAAAATATCATGGACTGGGGTTGGGGGGCCGGTAAATTATATGACAATCTCATTAAAATATAACTCTCTAGGGAATATATCAGTTATGGACACAAGGGAAGAGAGAATTCATGAATGTTCACCTGTCTTCAGGCCAGAAAAAAGAGGGAACACGGTTGGGAAAGGAAAAAAGACAGACTAGTGAATGCTCACCTAGAAAGCTGTCAGAGGGGCTTTGAAACCCCTCCCACCATGTGAATGAGGAGGAGACCGTGATTTCCAAAAAGATTCGTCCTCTCATCTTGTTGAAATTTGCTGCATGAAGGAGCCAAATACTCTTTTATGGGAAAGTAAGGGGGGAAAAAACCCTTACATCCTACCCCTCCAGGAAATGAAACTAAGTTAAAACTACATGGGCTGGTTCCAAAGGATTTGATTTGAACTGAAAGGGCCTGGTTGAATCACCTTGTTAGCTAACGGCCAGAGAGCAGACAATCGGGCTAAAAAGTTTTTGATTAAATGGCCTTGGGAAAACTCAATTCAATACCCATCGTTTTACAAAAATTCCTAAAGCACTGAGTTTCGCCTCAAGTCAAGATGATGCGATAACCTCAAGCTCCTTCCCTTATAGATTTTGTGGTAACTGTAGAAAACACGGTCTCGCGTGCCGAGAAAGGTTTCGTCCCTATGATCCTCTTCACCAGGCAACCCTCTTCTGCTAAAGAGAGAAAAGGCAGTAACATAGGACTGCTTTCCATTCATTTGTAAGGTGCTATGCTGAGGCCACAGCTCTTTCCTGTTTTCTGTTTCATTTGATGCTCCCATCAGCCCAGAGATGGCTCTCATATTTCACAGAAGACAGAAACTCAAGCTGAGAAAAGTCAAATTACTTGGCAATTGTTAAAAAGTAATTAATGGCAGAGCCAGAAATAAAACCCAGACCTCATTAATCTTCAGAGTCCGCAATTCCCTGACACGTCTCTCCAAAATTCAAATGTTAAAAAACAGTACTAATAACACATTTTCTGAGGACATTTTCATAGGCCCTCCTCGTGAAAAATGCTGGAGGTCGAGCAGGACACCTGCGGGCAGTGTGGCGACCAAATGCACACAGCACTTCAAGATAACTCAGATTCAAAAACCATTCTTAGCAGAAAGTACAGAAGTTGTGGAGAAAAAAGTCATGTACGGCTTCTGCCCTAAAGCATCTGGAAGGCTGCCCACAACAGCAGGGAGAGACAAATCCACTTCCTGCTTCTTGAGCAGTCGCTCTGTTCCTCCCTGACACGTTCTGTCCATCTGCTCTGGCTCATCTAGGTTCTATATTCTGTTTTGTTTTTGTTTGTTTTTCAGTAATTTCCAGCACACCCTTACATTTTACAGCCAAGTTCTGCCACTGAAGCCAAGCACGGGATTTGGTGGTGAAACCGATTCCCCTATTTGTAGGTGCACCAGGCTGCCTGCACTTTAACAATGTTTTTTTGGAGATCCGGCCCGGGACTTGTACTCTATTAAAAATCCAAAAGGTTGAGTCTGAGCCCAGCAACTTTCCTACTTTTAGACAAAGACTTGATTTCTGGCCCCCAAATGTCCCAGGAAGTGCGTAACCCTCTAAATTCCTTATCATCTGTCTGCACAACATAACACTTTTACCAACTTCATCATCTTCATAAGGTTGGTAGCTCGTACAGGGCTTCCAAACTTTCATGATAGTAACCGAGAGTACAAAGGACATTTTACGTGACCACCCAACACAGATGCAGCACACACACGTGTAATTAAAAGTTTCATGAAACTGGGGCGCCTGGGTGGCGCAGTCGGTTAAGCGTCCGACTTCAGCCAGGTCACGATCTCGCGGTCCGTGAGTTCGAGCCCCGCGTCGGGCTCTG